GGGGGAGGCGGAGTTCTAGGAGCACCGGGAAGCGTGGTGGCGGGAGCCAACAGGGAGCGCTGCGGCAGGAGATGAGTTCAGACCGGTAAGGCGAGGCAGGGCACGCACATCATGAAGAGCCCCCTGGATCGAAGTGAGGACTTTGAGTGAAATAGAAGCCATTTGGGATTTAGGAGCAGAAGAGTGGCGTGACCTGACAACGTTTTAACAGGATCCCTCTGGTTGCTGTGTTAAGAAGAGTCTAAAAGGAGGCAAGGGCAGAGCAGGGAACCCATTAGGCCGTGACTGCAGTCACCGCGGACTAGCTTTGAACTGAAATTAAAGCAGAGGTGTCTAGCCTAGGGCCTATGTCAGGAGGAGCACTCAATCACCGTTTGTCGGGGAAAATATTGAATCATGTCTTTTCCGCAGCATTATGGTGCCTGAAAGAGCGGCCAAGGGGACGTTGCTTCTGGACCTGAACAAGTTCTGCTTTGATGATGACAGCAACGCACCAAACAACCAATTCAACTTCACCACGCCATCTGGAGTGGGGAGCAGCGGCAGATTTTCACAGGATCCAGCTGGCTCTGGGAAAATCGTGGTCAGTTAATGGTCATTGCATCACTGAAAGGGCATCGGGGAAGCTGGTGTAACATGCATAGAGCTTTTGCTGCCCCGTAGAGGGGAATTTCCAAGGTAACTCCCTCTCAAAGCGACTGTAACTGACAAACGTAACAGTGACTCTGTTTTCCCCACACGCCCTTTATTTCACCCAAGTTCCGGGAATCATTTGTTATGCATAGTTGTGCCTGGGTGCTAAGGACTGGATTCTTTGCTGCAAAGCTTGCAGTTGGCGTGCCTGTTCCGTGTGCCCCTCAAGGTCACGTTAGTGCCCTCGGGGCTCAAGCCCTTTGGTTTACCTGGGGGCTCATCTCTGGCCCAGAGAAGTGTTAAGTAAGAGAAAGGTAGTCCAGCTCCCCGGCTGTGGAACCACTAGAGACCCAGCGGAGAATGAGGGGTTGCCCGTGTGTAGCCGGCCCCCTCCACAGCAGCTCCACAGGGGCAAACAAGCAGAATTGGAAGACATGAAAGGCAGGTCCCAATGAGCTGTGGAGACCTTTACCTACAGGGTTCCCGATGGAGGGTGATGGGGAAGGAGGAGAGGGAAGTGAAAGGGCAGAGGGGTCAGGAGTGGGGGGTCTGGGAGTGGGGAGTCTCAGAGTGGGGGGCCTAGGAGTGGGGGGCCAGGGAGTGGGGGGCCTGGGAGTGGGGGGTATGGGATTGGGGAGTGGGGGGAGGTCTTTGCATCAGGGATAGAGAGCCTCAGGGAGAACCAGCAGCCCACTAGGCATTCTCTCCCCACCTCCCATCCCAAGCCTTTCTTCCACCCCCAAGAAAGTCTTACCAATTTTATGCACACATGTCAGCTAAAAAATAATTTCTATTTTTTCTGTTTAGGAAATTAATACAACTTCACTGTAGAATGTAGAAAACACAGAACAGCATTCTCAATAGTGAGAACCACTATTAACATTGTGATGTGTTATCCTCTTGTCTTCTTCCCTATGCATACATTTTTATGAATATGCCATACATATATGCATAAATCTTTTAAATGATGGAAATATCCCTGCCTATAGGATTCTATATTGTGCTTCTCTTCAAGTAACCTGAAGTCTTGAGCTTATGCTGTTGGGCACTAGTGCTTGATGAACGTCTTTAACATAGATTCTCCTGCTAAATTCTTTTGAATAAATTCTCTAGCAGTGAGCAAAGGTATGGATGTAACCTGTTAAAGCTCCTCTTACAGCAAAATGCTTTGCAGAGAAGGTTTTGCAATTTATATATCCACTGACAGTACATGAAAATGTCTCTGTCAGTTTAATTAAAAGGATTGTTTATTCTGTGTAATATGATATCTCTGTTTTAATCTAGTTGATCGGTGACCTAGATTATGAAAATTCAAGTAATCTAGCAGCCGGCAATAAGTACACCGTGATAATCCAGGTGCAGGATGTTGCCCTTCCTTACTATAAAAGCAAGTATCATTTTGATTTATTTCATGAAGCATCTTCTTTGAGTAGCAACAGCTAAACTGTGCTAGGCAGCACTTGGTATTGGGCTAGGCATTTGTGTTCAAAAGGAGACTTCAAAAACCCGAACACTTGGGAATCAGCCCAGCCTCCTCCTGTCCTTTGCCAGGCACTTTTGATCTGTCTCTGAGTTCTTTCTTCTGTGTCACCTAAAATCTCAAGGATCTGCTGCCCACCCCGCCCCGCCCCCCTCCTCTAGTAGTGCTCAACGCAGAACCTCCCCTTTCCTGGCTCAATTACAACACTAAGTCTTTTAAGGATCCTTCTGTCTGGCTTTTGTCTTGCCCCTTTCCAGTGCACCATCCACATTCTGACAGTGATTTTCAGGAAATGCAAATAGCATTATATTACTTCTTCGCTGAAAGCCCTCCACGTGTCTCCCCATAGCTGTCAGTTCAAGTTCAAACTCTGGCTTAGCACACAAGGACTTTCATCTCTGGCCCCTGCCTAACTCTCTGGCGTCAGCTCTGGTTGCCCATCTCTAAGCTTCCCTTTTTCCAAACTGCAGTTTCCCTGAGACAGTCATGCAGTTCTCTAACTCGGTATCCTCGCACATGCCCAGAACCACCCCACCCCCCTGCACCCCTGCTCCACCCTGGCCCGTTTGTTTGAACTCTAAATATCCCTATGAGCCAGCTTCTTGCACTTCCTCCAGCATCCGCAGTGACATGTACACATGTTAAGCCAAAGGCAAGTAACTACTCTAAGTAAGCATCGCGAAGGCAAGACCCACTAGGTCTTCTTCACCTTGTATTTCCTCCATTTTGCACAGAGCCTGGGACACGGCAGGTGCTTTAAAAATGGTGAATAAACACATGTGTGAGAGGGGGGTGTTGCAATTGAATTTTTTTTTCTATCTCTGCTTTCAGACAACATCTACATTTATATCTTCACAAAGCCCGAAAATGAGTTTCCTCTTGCCTTTGACAGGCCATCCTACGTATTTGAGGTGTCAGAATTAAGGCCAGGTAAGGAGCCGACAGGACACAGATCCCAGGGCTCCTGATGGACTCCTTCATTCCACGGAGCAGAAACCGCCTTCAGCTCAGGGGCCCTGAGTGGTGTTGTGCATGGCAACTCACAGCTCATTCGTGTTTATTGCATCTCTTATCTCTTTTTAAGTTGTCCTCACTGCTGAGGAGCTCTTCAGGTGAAACCTAGATTTTGGAAAACTATTGTTTAAGCTGCGTTTCTCCGAACCCCTGATTGCATCCTTGTCTGCGTGCCTGATTCCGCTCATCTTTCCTTTTTGTGGCCTTAGTTTTCCCTCGGTCTCCACTGTGATTTTTATCCCGCTCGCGCAGACAATGGAAATTTAAAAATAGAGAAGAGCTTTCCCATTTGTAGATTTCCTTCATTTAAAAACAAAATAAAGACATTTTCTCGCCCATAACGGGATTCCCTGGAGGACTCTTTTGTGCCCTCTATTCACATCTCCATTTCTGCGGGTTCTTCCCCTCTTTCAGCTTCAGCTTCTCCCCAACTCCCCTGACTTCAAGGTGGGACCCTTAACTCTAGTATAATCCCATTCAGTCCCACTTTTGATCCTTAACTTTGATACTTCCTCTTCTTCTCTATTTAGCCAACCAACCAACCAACCAACCCAAACACTCCCTCTAAAATGATCTCCTCTCCATATTAGTTTCTGTCTTGAGGATGGTCTCCATTTCCTGGTGTTAAGTTTTAAACAAAGGGCAAAAAGGCTCTGAAGAGGATGCTTTTAATTCCTTATACCTCATCCAGGTATACGGATGCACAAATGCAGCAGGCATTTTAAGAATAAGCAAGCTTCTTATTCCTCACAGATCTTATTATGATTATCGATCACCTACTGTGGGTCAAGCACTTGGCGCTGGAGCTATACAGTTAAATAAGAGGTTTCTGCCCTTGAGGAGTGCAATGTATGAGAAAGAGCCACAGAACAAGCCAGCCAGAACTCCAGCAGCCCCACCAACAAGCTTTGTAAAATAAGCAAAATGGAGCAGTCTTTAAAATGCTATACTCTAGGGACGCCTGGGTGGCTCGGTTGGTTAAGTGTCTGCCTTCAGCTCAGGTCATGATCCCAGGGTCCTGGGATCGAGCCCCACGTTGGGCTACCTGCTCTGTGGGGAGCCTGCTTCTCTTTCTCCCCCTCCCTTGTGCTCTCTAGCTCTATCTCTCAAATAAATAAATAAAATCTTAAAAAAAAAAAATTCTAGGGCGCCCGGGTGGCTCAGTTGGTTAAGCGACTGCCTTCGGCTCAGGTCATGATCCTGGAGTCCCGGGATCCAGTCCCACATCGGGCTCCCTGTTCAGGGGGGAGTCTGCTTCTCCCTCTGACCCTCTTCCCTCTCGTACTCTCTATCTCTCATTCTCTCTCTCTCAAATAAATAAATAAAATCTTTAAAAAAATAAAATTCTATACTCTGATCATCGGTTGCTAAACCCTTTCAAAAACTGTTTATTTTTCATCTTGTTTGTAAGAGTAATTCACGCTCATAACAGAAAATTTGAAAGAGACAAAAGACATTCAGACAACACTGCTGCGAACCAAGTATGTGTGAGGATGTTCTTTGCAGTGTTGCTTATGATCACGTAGTATGAGCACATAATTGGCGTGCTTGGAGTCTATATAAAGGCATGAATTGTCTTTAATGCCTTACTCTATGGCTTGGATCATAGGGCCAGTTACCTGGTGCATGCTCATTAGCACAATTTGATTTTAATAGACTTGAAGACATAAAACATACAGTGTATGAGCAGCAAAGAGACCTCCAAAAGTCCTTCTGCCCATGGTGATGGGAATGTGTGCTCCTGGAGTCTCCCCTTCCGCCCCTCCCCCAAAGCAGGACTAATCTCAGGTACTTTATTCTTTCAGCTCGAACCCGGGTGGGAGTAGTGCACGCCACCGATAAAGACTCCCCCCAGAGCAGCATCGTGTACTCCATCTCCACGGGAGGAGCCAGCCTCCAGTACCCAAACATATTTTGGATCAATCCCCAGACGGGAGAACTCCAGCTGGTGACGAGAGCAGACTACGAAACAACCCCCATCTATATTCTCAGAATCCAGGCCACCAATGGCGAGGACAGCAGCTCGGTCACTGTGAGTGGGGCCGTGGGTGTGTTCACAACAGCCCGACCAGCTGACTTAGGATCTTTCTGGCACCTTCCAGATGTGGCTGTAGCAATAAGGAATCTTAACAGGGCCCATCCCGCAGACGTAAGGGGAATGACTAGTGGTGTCCAGGACGGCACACTTGGACACAGCTAGCAGAGCCTAGGAAATAAAGATTGGCATCTGTAGGCCCAAGTTTGTGGGTGGCTGGGAGGTGTGCCAAGACTGATGACCATGCTGCGCAGCCAGCTTCCCCCTGTTACCCTTTAGATCTCCCTTCACTTTGGCAGTGGGCTAGCGGTGAGATGCATGCTTCCACAAGTGCGGTGTGGTTTTGTCGCTATGCGTAGTTTTGCCATGTTTCTACCCCTCCCGAATCACATCAGATAGGGTAGACCTTTACATGATGTGGCTTGACCCAGGGTTATGCTGCTTCTCAACTGCGGTGTTGCGCATCTGGTTAAATGTAGATGCTGAGTCGGCAGATCTGAGTGGGTCTCGGAATCTGCATTTCTAACACACTTCCAAGTGGTGCTGATGCAGCTGGTCTGAGGCCACACTTTGAGTAACGAGGGTTTAATAGGGTTGTGCTGTCCATGGTTATGATTATCTGGAGATAATATGATGGCCGCAAAGACGGAACTATTTCTTGGTCTTTCCCATTAATAAAGTGAAGGAGCATAAGGCAAAATGAACTGTCGGCCAGTGGCAGGTGGCCCCGTGTGATACAGAGAATGACTGGTTCAATCCGGAGATGGAGTTCATGTCTCAACTTTAATCCCAATTCTCCAAGGGGGTCTGAGCAATGCTTATCTTTGTGTCCCAATTTCTCTCTCTCTTAAATGGAGAGTCACCTGATAACCCATTGCCTGAACAGTCCAGTTCCTCTGATGACTGGCTTTGAATTAATAGGACATGTTTCTAATGATGTGCGAGGCTCGACATTGCTAGCTGAGCAAAAGACGTGCTAAGCTGAAGATAATTGTCGTGTTTGCTAGGCTGGGTTTTTGAGAAAAATGAATGGACTCCACTCTGGGAGCTAACTGGAGTGAACATTTCAATTTATTCCCGGGCTCAGAAATAGCTGAAATCCCCAAATTTCAAAGGTAGAATGAACACGACTCAAAATTCATAAGCCTTTAAAAAGGGTGATGATCACGTAAGTCCCTTCCAGGGCTGACATTCTATGATTCCATGCTGGCAGGCGTCCCAGTCCGTACTTCAATTCACCAAGCATAAAAGACGACGATGAAACAGAAGAGGCTAGCTTCTGCTCCTGGCAGCTTAGGGCCACCGGCTTCGTAAAGTGCCCATAGCCCAGGTCACAGATGAGATCCCAGCTTAGCCAGGTCAACTCCTTCTATCCTGGTTGTTCTCAACCCTGGCTGCATATTAGAATCAGCTGGAGAACTCTTGCAAAAGTGCCTGGGCCCCACCCTCCTGAGAGTCCAGTTCATCTGGTCTGGAGTGGGCCCACAAAGTGGAGCCAGAGCTGAGAACCATTGTTCTATATTCCAGAGTTAAAGACAGAACTTCCAATGTGCAAGGGCGATGGGCAAGGAACTATAGGGGGGTCACCGTAAATTCGTCTTCATTACTGGAAAAACAACTCCGCATCATGTGGGGATGAGCCCATGCTTCTAGATGCATGTGGGGGGTGGTATGTGAATGTGTATATATATATTATGCACATAAGCACACACACACACACACACACAGAACAGAGGTTAATAGGCCAGGACTTGGAGTAGGACAGACCTGAGTTCAAATTGCCTGAACTGTGCTGCTCACCAAATGGAACGGCCTGAGGTCCACTACTTAATCTCCCTAAGCCTCAGTTTCCTCATCTGGAGAATGGGAATAATCATATCATCTAGCTCAGGGGAGGTTCCATGAGCTGGACCACCAAAAGCACCCAGCCCAGTGCCTGGCACACAGTAAGTTCTCTGTGAGCTTTAGCTGTTAACCATGACCACCTTCTTGCTCTTCTAGGTAACTGTGAACATCCTTGAAGAAAATGATGAAAAGCCAATTTGTACCCCAAACTCTTATTTCTTGGCCATCCCCATGGATCTGAAAATTGGCACAAACATTCAAAATTTCAAGCTGACGTGTACCGACCTTGATTCCAGCCCCAGGTCGTTTCGTTACTCCATGGGCCCAGGTACACGGTTTCCAAGGGCTCTTGGTGTTAGAGGCCTTAGCAGCTGTTTAGGGAGAAGGGGGTCTGTGCTCATACACTGACTGGAGCACAGTGTGTGTGTGTGTGTGTGTGTGTGTGTGTGTGTGTGTGTCAGGGGGTATTTTTGAATGAGGGAAGCAAGGTTGAGGAACGTAACGGCCCTGTGCCTCCGAGTTCTTTGGCTTCCCCATCTCACTTAAGTCTTCCCAGACTCCCATCCGTGGTTGCCAAAGGCCCAAGGAACAGTGAACCCCACGGATGGCACCCCCCGCCCTCCACAATTCCCACCCATCATGGTGCATCAACCGTATTAGTGTAGTTTAAATTTTTTTTGGTCCCCCTCCTCAACCACCTCTTTTCCTGCCAGCTTGTAGTGGGGGCGGGGAATCCCAGTCTTCTCTCTGGATAATAATAGATTAAATAGATTAAATGCATTTTGAGACGTGTCCTCAGGAATTCTCTTCTACTCCATTCACTTTCTCTCTTTATACCACTGAGAGGGGGGGAAAAAGAGCACTCTCAATGGAAATGAGACCAAAATAGCTCATCTAATGAAGTGCTGGGGCCAGAGATTGAAACCCAAACAAGCAGAGCAATTCCATGTGAAAGAGTAAAAATCCATCTTGGCTGCCCGCTGAGCCCTGGCGGAGCGGGAACTCTAACGGTAGGGAGCCTCGAGTAGGCGGTGTCGCAAAACCCAGGGGCAGGGACTGCCTCCACACGGCAGTTGCCAAAGATGGAAAGAATCCATACGGAGAACCCTCAGGCCTTTATGGAGCTCTTCGCTGCTAAGGGAGTACAGACTGCATCGTCTCCTGCTCCATTTACTGGTTTGCCGTTGGTAATGAGTCTGGAGCCACCAGAGGACTGAGCAAGGACGGCTCGGGTGGCTACCTTTCTGCCCCGGGCACTCGAAGCTGTGAGCCTTGAGCCCCAACCCGGCTGTGGGGGAGGTGGGTATGGGGTGGATGCGGGAGGACCTGGGACTGCGACCCAGGCCAGGCCAGGAGGCCCCACCGGTGTGGCTACCAGGGTGGCCAGCAGGGTTCCACCCAAGGCGATGGAGTGAATTCGGCCCATAGCCTATCACCGACCTGGCGCTGGTGTGTCAGAAACATGGTCGACACCTGAGGCGTGGATGTTTGAGGAAATGATGGAATGAAGCTTTCTTCTAAACCCCTTTCTCACTCTCTTTTCTTTCTTTTCCCCAAATCCTTGTATCACATCGCATTTAGGCAACATCAACGGTCATTTCACCTTCTCTCCCAACGCTGGGTCCAATGTTACAAGTCTGCTCCTTGCGACAGGCTTCGACTATGCCAGTGGGCTTGACAAGATCTGGGACTACAAACTACTTGTCTACATAACTGATGACAACTTGCTGTCTGGCAGGAAGAAAGCTCAGGCTCACGTTGAAACAGGGACGGTAACGCTGAGTATTAGCGTCATTCCTCACCCCACCACAGTTGTCACCACGACCGCCAGGGTAAGGGCTTTGGGACCTGGACTACCCAGATACACCCCTCGTGATGTACATCGATGGACCCCCTTGACCCAGGAGAAATATAGGATGGGCTGAAAAGAGTTGAGGTGTTAGGATGTTGCCAGGAATGCCAACTATGGGCTGGACTGGAGTAGTCACTGGGCGGTAGACAAAGATCTGAATGAGACCTTGGATTTGTAGAACCATTAGCTTTCCCTATGTTGCTAAAGAAGAATGTGCATTTCTGCACTGACTTGTGATAGATCAGGTATTGACCATGCGTGGTGCTTCTGGCGCAGGAGCCAATTTTCATGGGCGTGTGGCCAGCAGCTTCCTTCACAACCCCTTCTGTGCTTGCTCGTAAGAGCCGTTGCAAGTCAACGTCCATGAAGGCAGGTAGCTGCTTTTATGCTCTTCTCCACTTCTTTTGAAGAGTCCCTATGCACCAGTCTGTACCCTACTCCCCACCCCCACTCCAAAAAAATTCATTGGTTCAACCTACAAATATTGACTGAATACCTATAATATGCCAAGCTCTTTGGTGAACAAGCCAAAAATGATCTCTGCTGTCATGGAGCTTCCAGTAAGTCAGTGATCCCCAGACCATCAGCAAGAGCACCACCTGGACACCTGTTAGAAATGCAAATTCTTAGACCCACCCCAGAATATTGAAGTTGTGATCATCACCATGACTTCTAGGGAAAGATACTGGAACCTGGAGTCCTCAGCCACATCCCCAGAACTACTGGATCAGAAGCTCTGGGAGTGGGACCCAGTAATCTGTGTTTTTAATAAGCCTCCAAGGGGATTCTGATGTGCTCTAAAGTTTGAGAGCTGCTGATCTAGAGAGGGAGACAGATGACAAACAGGTATCCAAATTCATTCATTAACTACAGATTGTAGTAGATAGTAGGAAGCAAACAAGCAGGTGCCCATAAAACCAGTGTGATGAAGGAAGGGAGAGAGTCTCGGAGTCTGACAATAGGATTATCTCCTCCTGCTCCTGGGAGGGACTCTAACTCTTTTGCCCCCTTTCCTCCTGCGCCTAGGGAAAGTTGTGCCCTTAGTAGGCAGCCCCACACGTGCAGTGTGCTAGAGGAGAAGTCATCAGAACCTTAGCTACCTGTGACTGGTGGTCAAATTCCGTTTGTCCGAGTCCTACCATGAGCTGGTCCGTGTTCATCTCCCGTGTGCTGGAGTCAATATTACCCCAATGAACGGAGGCATAAGATGATCTTAAGGGCTTTCACTCGTGGTAGGAGCCAGTAGGCTCCCTTGAGTAAGGAGCTGCCACCTTACCGGGGCTTACATGACCTGACGGTGACATCTCCAGCCCCCAAATCTCCATACCTTGTTTGGTACAGTCTTCTTCTCCAGGAAGCAAATGCCAAGCTTGAGGTTCCGCTGTGCGTCAGCCCTGTGTGAGCTGGCTGTGCAGCTTGCTGCGAGGGGACACTGCAAAGCCTATAAAGTGTTAAAAGAATAGCTTTCGTGGCGCATGCCTTCCCAGTGAGAGACAATGGCTATATTCGTCCCAGGGTTATGCCATGATTTGGCAGGGAAAAAAGCCAATGGGATTTTTAGTGTTTGGGAAGGGGAAGAAAGAGTAAAAATAGGCCTGGAGTTGCTTTTCAGTTCCCTAAATTTTCTGGGTTTTGATCTCCTGGGTGCTTGGAAAGACTATAAATAAGCTGATGGGTTGAAGCAGCAAGAACTGTGAGCACATGGATGCCCCCATGTATAGAGCAAGAACAAAGAGCAGAACCAACACTTGATACGAGAGAGTGCTGATGTCAAAAATGGCTCACCCGCTCCCCTCTCTGTCATTCAAGCCCAGGGTCATCTACCAGGTCCTGAGAAAAAACGTTTATTCTCCATCAGCGTGGTATGTGCCTTTTGTCATCACTTTGGGCTCCATATTGCTTCTGGGCCTCCTGGGATCCCTGTTCGTCCTGTTGGCCAAAGCCATCCACAGACACTGTCCCCACAAGACTGGGAAGCCCAAGAAACTTCCGTAAGTTGTCGGTGGGCTGGGCCCTTTCCACCACTTCCTTTAGGCCACTGTTACCAGTGATGTCAGGAGAGGGAATGGAAGGAATTAGGATTTCTCTCCACGGCAGAGAGGGAGCCTGGAGTGAAGGAAGGAGAAGTCAGTCGGGGGATGGCTCCCCTAGGGTCCTGGTACCCTCTGCATCACCTACTGGGCCTGGTTTTCCTGGCACCTGCCCTGTCCTTGAAACATCCTCAGTGAAATGGGGCTTCCTCCTCCGGTGAACTTGCCCTGGATAAAAGCCTCAGAAGAAAAAAAGCCTGGTTGTGAGTAGTGATAGGATATACTGTGCTGGTATTTGTAGAATATTTAAAGGATGGGAGGGAATTAGAGAAAGCACAGAAAACTGCTAAGGGAATTAAGCTTTTGGCTCCAGTGACTCACTGGGCTTTTGTGTGACTAAATCATCATTGTTCTTTTGCATGTGACCCCAATCTTTCACTCCCCAGGGTTGGAAGCAGAGGCCTGTTTCCCCTCCCTCCTGTTCCCTCCTGCTCACTCACGTGCTCTTACCATGTACTCCGTGGAAGTGAGACACCGGAGTGAAATGGAGAGAGCGCTTCATTGTTCCAAGCTTCTCTAGACCCAGTTTCTCGAGTCTCAGGAGCTCCCCCCATGACAGCATGATGGTTCTGATCCTGCGGCTTTGGAGAGAGACAAGGCCTGCTTTGGCTCTGGGCTCACCATTTTCCATATGGCCTCAGACAAATGGCGACCTTTGTGAATCTCAATTCCTTATTTGAAAAGTAAACAGTCAAATCACAAAGGCAGAGGGAGCACTTAGCAGTGTTCCTGATGTGGAGTAAATGCTTAATATAGTGTTTGTTGAGTCTTGTTGCATTATTTTTTTGTGGCTGAGTCCCCGTGAGCTCAGGATTCTAGGTTCCAAGTTTAGCTCTATGCTCAAGTATCTCGGGATGTTGGAACCTGAGTTTTGGCACCACGAGGGAGTGATGAGACTTCCTATACCTTTTAAAGGTGTTTTGAAGATAAACTAGTACTGTCAAATAACTTAAAATCTGTGGATGAGAAGACTCTACAAAAGTATAAGGCATTAGCATAAAGATGTGCATTGCATTTTGCCATATTTATTGGGGAAGTTTGTTGCTATTGGCAACCTTGACTTCAAGGTAAGAAATCCGTGAGCATCTGCTGAAATTAAAAGAGGCATTTTTGTTTGGGCTCTACTCACAAATTGATTTGGAAGAAAACGTTGGTTCCAAAAGAGTGACGCTTAAGCTTGTAAGGATGGTGGTGCTCCGTAATGGGGTTTGGACAGAAGTTCTTAAAGGTAGTCATCCACTAGACACTGCAACTCTCAAGCAGTTTATGGTTCCATGTACCTTGAACTTGGTTGCCTTAACTTACATCCAAAATATTAATCGTTTCCAACATGGTTGACTTAAAAAAGAAAAACTAGCTAGTAATAACAGGCTCAGGCCTGGCCTCCCTGGAAATTAGGTGTACTATATGGCAGCCAACGTTTGTCCAACAGCAAAGAAGAAAATTAGAGTCACAGAATTATGGAACCCAAGGTTATCCTGGGAAGGGGCTTAGCATCCAAGACCAGGTCTTCCTGTTATAGGAAAACGGGGTTTGCTGCCAGCCCTTGAAGCTTCCTGCTGTGAGCCAAGCCTTCTGCTCAAGGTGGCTACTGGGGAGAAAAAGGAGGCGGGAAGAATTGCCAGACCCACTGGTCATGCCCTCACCTGTGCTGTCAGAGAAAATACATTCCCTCAAGTTCTATAAGGCAATAGTTTTCAAACTTATCAAACTCCTAGAACCTCTTAAGTCCCACACCAACAGTGCTGGAACTGCTCTGTTTGGAGCAGGGGTGGGAGCCCAGCCTTCATTTTAGTCCCGAAGCCTGGCCCCTCTTTTAATCAATCTCTGAATCCCAAGGAACACAGTTGCCCCAAGGCTCCAAGTTATTATATGTGAACCAGAGCAGAATACTTTCAGGTTAATTCTTGCCCATCTCTTGTTTTTCCCCACAGGGTGAAGAAAGGAGGTATGTACCATGCCTATTCCCTTTGTTTGTGGCTGTCACTGTTGTTGGGTTTTGCTTGCTCTCTTGTACTAAATAAAAGGGTTCCAACTCAGCAGAGAATCGGGGTGCAGTTCTGCCTCGGTGTGTTTTCAGTCGCGTCTTCTGTGGCTGAAATGAGAGCTCAGATGTAGCCGGAGAAAGGAAAGGGCAAGGCGCATGGTGCCATTAGGCGCTCAGATCTCTCCTCTGAGTCCTGCCTGTTCCCTACCCAGACTTGCCTCCAGCCAGCTGAACTGAGGCACCTAGAGGTCTGTTCCCCGCCAAGCGGGCCAGGAGTGATGAATTCTCCAGGAGTGAAACACAGACAGTATCTACTTGCTGCTGCACGTGGAGGGGTGGGACCACTCCCGAGGACAGCGAATGCTCTGTATTGGACACATGCCTCTTTTGCAAGAACAAATGACACTTTATTCTCAGATCGTAACGGATTTGATCATTTTCACAAGTTATTTGGGTCAGGCAAGTCGGAAAGGGGGGCGGGGTGCAGTCAGATGGGCGGGGAGAGTTGAGGCGCTGGTGAGTTGAGCAAATTCCCATCTGAATAAGGACGCCAAGCCTAAGGGGATGACAGACCCAAGCCTGGAAAGTTGCTGTTTCGAGGGAAATCCAGGCTATGGGGAGAGACGGGACAGAGGATTGGAAAGCGTGTTTAAAAAAAAAGATGGCTTTTTTTTTTTTAAAGATTGTATTTACTTCTTTGAGAGACAGAGAGTGAGAGAGAGAGAGGGTAGAGAGGGGGTAGGGTCAGAGGCGAAGCAGACTCCCCACTGAGCAGGGAGCCTGATGTGGGACCCGATCCTGGGACTCCAGGATCATGACCTGAGCTGAAGGCAGTTGCTTAACGGACTGAGCCACCCAGGCGCCCAAAAAAAGATTGCTTTAATCACTCAATCCATAGGCGTGCGTAGCTGATATGCACAAGGCACTAAGCAGGGTTAGAAATTTGATTGTAATGGTTATTGATCATATCAAATGAAATGATTTTAATGAGGTCTTCACAGACTGTCACCCACCCTAGTTACTTTTTAAAAGGGCATAGGGAATGGATTCAAAGAATCCTCACATTACGAACAAATGTATCAACTGGATCTTTCTTTCTTATCTTTCAGTAAAAAGCTAATTACCCAGGTCCAGTAATAGCAATAAATTGGGAAAAGAGTAACATTCAAAAACAAATTCTGTGTATTATTATTATGTGTATGCATGTGTGTGGGTGTGTATTTTTCTGGAAGGTAGAAAACTGTCAATAAACATTTCTGCAGAGAATTCCTCGTCATGTCTGCAATACTAAGTTCAAAGCCTGTTTAAGAGAAATCCCATTGTGGAGGTAGAATTTCAAGGTCAATTTAGTGTCCAAGGAGCTTCACTTCTATCTGTTCTATTCCCTGCAGAGATGAAGACTACAAAGCCAGAGGTTTTGGTGGTAAGTGTGGTGGCCGCGGGGCACCTGGCTTGGGTGACGAGTGGTGGGCCACTCCCCGCCCCTCTCAGGCAGACCCTGCCACAGCCTCGTGGGAGTGTTTATCATTCAGGGAGACGCTTGTATTTGGCCACTGGAACAGATTGCTGTGTGACGAGCTCCTGATAGAATTTGTTCCCTCCACTGAACATGTCTGCTGATATATTTGCAGAAGAAGTGGATTTCATAAATATTGAATAGTGGTGTTTATTATCTACACCAGCTCTCCAGGAGAGTGAGTTGCCTTAAAGACCAGAAATGGAGCCTCAGCCTTCAGTGATATTTATTTTTTCTTCACCGTTCCACAACCTTGCAGAAATGCAAGGGAGACGGGGCACAGCTTGGTCCAGGGGTGGGCTCTGGCCCACTTGGCCGTATGACTTTGCAGACTCCCTCAGACTCTTTAAGCTTTAGATTGCTCATCTGTAAAATGGGAGTGAGGACACGTGCCCCGGGGTCGCAGGTTGAGGAACTACCTTGAGAACTGTTAAGAGTCACGCAAATGCCAAGTGTTACAAGATAGCTGGAGAGTCTCCCCACCGCCCCCCACCCTTACTTCCTTGTTTTTCTTTACTGAACCTGATCTGCACACTGGGAAGTGACAGAACTTGAAGGTGACCCCTCCAGTCTCCCTCACCCCCTGATAATAAGATTCTGTTATGATCCAAGACCCATAAATGGCGGGAATGATATGTACAATGACAAACACTATCCAGGGCTCTAGAATTTCTGCTTCAGGTCCGTCACCTAAGTGCTTATCTGTCTACACTCGGGAGGAAAGGGGGATCTCTTATCTCCTTAGTCTTAGTGTCTAAGGCAAGTCCCCTTGGTGATGCCACTCAGAGAGCACCTTAGAAATATGCATTAAATTAATTAAATAAGTAAATCCCCATGACCATAAAAAGTGTAGCTGCTGAACTGTTCAAATGGATAAAACCCATATGGTCTCCATTTCCTCTGTCGTGGGAGTTGGGGAGCCGTGGGTCAGTGCGTAGATGATGGCTGGTGTGATTAGAACCCCCTAGACTCCAAACATCATCCTCATTAGCATGCTAAAGAAGGGCACCTCCAGAGGGCACCTTGTGAGAGAAGGGGGTGTTTCCCTGGGGACGGAGGTCAGGTCCCCAGAGGGTGGCACAGAGAACAGGGGAAGGAGGGGAGCTGGAGCACCAGGCGTAGGGAAGGCAGGCCAGGCCCAGATGCAACACTGTGTTGGCCTAGGCAAGGGGACACGGCCAGAGGCCACGGGTGGGAGCACGTGACTGCTTCTCTCTGCCTGCCACGCCCGCCTGCCTGACAGATCCCACTTAGGCAAAGGAGGTCTCAGCCAGGGTTGTGTGGCATTTCTGCTCTTCTTTCTGTGCAGCTTAGACAGCATTTACTTGGGATGCTTTCCTGCCTCCCAAGCTGGATTAGATGTCCTCCTGGCCCTCCTGGGCCCCGAGCATGCCAGAGTCCCACGTCCACCTTATCACTCTATGTCATGCACCTGTTGGCAGGGGCTCCCACTGACTACAAGCTTTGTGCAGGCAGCCCCCACACCTGTCGTGTTCACCACTGTGTCCCCAGCATCTAGCACGGTGCCTAGTGAGTAGACAAGGGTCAAGAAGGCCCTGGGTAAGGAACGCAGCAGGCTATGAGGATGAGCGGCCTGGCAGGGCGGGAGGCGTGCAGGGTTGTGCTTGAAGCTGTCTCTTTTCCTCCTTAGGAAACAATTCAGATGAACTCTGTCTTTGATGGAGAAGCCATCGACCCAGGTAATTAAGTGGCAGTGCCGTCCATCCAAAAGGTGTTTTCATATTCCAGGTGGGTAGAGTCACGGAGGACCCTATCCAAGGTCCTGCCCTTAACTCAGTTTGTCCCTCCGTTTGAGGGTGTTGCCTGACCCTTCTGCTGCCATCCCGGGGGAGATCACCTCTGAGCTGGCAGATGCCAGCCGGATTTCCACCTAAAGCCTCCCGCCCTTGCTAGCCTCCCTTCCTAAATTGCAAACCAACTCAGGAGACTGGTGCATTCTGCCTGCCCTTTGGAGCTCAACCTCCTCCCCCAGTCCTTTCTGAATGCTTCTAACACCACCCTGTTGGTAGTGAGAGAGATGGAGAAATGGCAGGCTTGGCTCCCTTTTCCCCTAGATCAGGGCCAAGAATTTCTTCTTGGTCGGCAAGATGAACATAAGGTAAAGCTGGCCTCCAGAGCTCCCCTCACCCCCATGAAATCAGCTCCAAATTTAGCTCCTTTACACACATCCCTCCACTTACAAAGGCTCAATTATAGATGTGAATAAAGGGAAGGAAACCAAACTCGGGAGGCAAGTGTGCTGGCTCCCTGCCATCCTCACATGCAAGTGGCTCGGTCCTTCTCGGAAGGGTGGCTCCTCTCCAGGAGAGGCTGCTGCCGCTGCCGGAATTAAATTTCCCTCTATTATTAGGTACTTGTTACCATAATGTGCCCACATTAGCATAAGTGCTGGTGGGATCTTCTGCCGAGAGGCCACTCATAGCAAGAGCAGGGGATCGCCTGAGACTCCATCTTCTGGGGCAAAAGCCCGGAAGGACCAAGGCTGTCATCGACATTCATGTGCTGAGAGACGGAAAAAAGGAAGAGAGGAGCCAACTGCACTGATGTGAACGAGCGCACCGATTAGTGCCCGCTGCTCTGGCTCAGTCACACGGCTCTCTTGCACCATCTCCACAGAGGCTTCGTGTCTGTGTCTACGAATCTCCGCTAACCTAACATACGTAAAAATCAGAGTCCTTTCCTCCCTACTCCATGGCTTCCTTCTTGTGTCTGGAATTCAGGGGGCTTTTAAAACAAACCCATCAGGGGCGCCTGGGGGGCTTAGGCCATGAAGCGTCTGCCTTCTGCTCAGGTCATGATCCCAGGGTCCTGGGATCGAGCCCCGCGTTGGGCTCCCTGCTCAGCGGGGAGCTTGCTTCTCCCTCTGCCCCTCCCCCCCAGCTCAGGCTCTCTTGCTCTGTCTCTCTCAAAAAAATAAATAAAATCTTTAAAAAAAAATTAGAACATAATGGGTAACCCCATTAGAAACTGAACCAAATGTATCCAAAGCGGACATGGAATTCAAGATTTATGTGGCTTTCTTTTTTTTTTTTTTTTTTAAAGATTTTATTTATTTA